TACTCGGTAGCATTTCTGATAATATAGACAAGGCCATCTCTTTGCATCCGTCTTCATATTCGTGTTCGGTGACTTTAACGACCGTCATATCACGTGGCTTAAACCCTCTGTAAATTAACTCGCTTGCATAGAAACCATTAAACTTTTCAATCACTCAATCTATCACGCAAGTGGTTGACTTTTCTACGCCTTGTTTTACTGCCATTTCTGACTCCTGCCGTGTCACGCAGCTCTGCCCTCTTGGCAGCTCTGATCACACCGTAGTGTCTGTTAACCTCCTTCTACTCTTCTCCCAGCCAAGAACCGCCTACTAACAGAATATCTTTCTATTATCAACGCGCAGACTGGGACTCGTTCAGTGATTTCCTTGGTGATGTCCCCTGGAATATGGTTTTTAATCTCCCCGTTCAAAAATGTGCGTCTGAGGCCTCCTCATGGGTAAAAGCTGGAGTGGAGTCAAATCCCTTCATGAAGTTAAATTGTGCGCATCTCTTTGGTTTACGGCCGCTTGCTCAGCGGCTATTGCCCATAGGAATCACTTCTTCCGTCTGTACCGAAGTGACATATCTGATTACAATAGACATATCTTTGTCTCTGACTGTAATGAGCACAAGCGGGTCCTCAATGAAGCAAAGCTACTTTTTGCTGGAGAAAATGAAACAACGTATTTATCTCAAAAGTTTGGTTCTCGAGATTATTGGCGGCCCTGAAAGGGTATGCAGAACAACATCAATTCCACAATACCTCCTTTATTCAATCAATTTGAGGTACTGGCTTCCTCAGCTGATATGGCTGAATGCTTTGCTCGTAAATTCTCTTCCAATTCAATGGCTCATCCGGAGTACCCACACCTGATTTTCCATCCAGAAGTGAGGCTCGTTTGAGTGACATAAACATAAACCCATTGGTTGTCTTGGACATCGTCTCTAAATTGGGCCTCCATAAGGCTAGTAGCGGAGACGGGATATGAGCCGTTGCCCTGAAGAAATGTACTCTTGAACTGGCACCAGTCTTCTCAAAACTATATAAGTATTACCTCAGTCTGTTGGAAGTCATCATTTGTTGTTCTTTAAGAACTCTGGTGACCGTTCTGACCCATCGATCTACCGTTCTATAAGTCTATACCACTCTTTGGAAAACTCTTCGAGGATTTAATCAACGCGGAAGTGGTGAAGCACATTAAATCCCATGATCTGCTCTCAGACTAGCAATATGGTTTCCCCTTTGCCCGATCCTCCGCTGACGTGCTCACGACTATAACTGAATTTATATACCAAACACTTGACAACAACGGAGAATCTCGGGCTGTAGCTTTAGATACCTCTAAAGCGTTTGATAGGGTCTGGTGTGCTGGCCTTCTTTGTAAGCTACAGTGATACAGCATTACAGGACGATCATTTGCCTTAACAAAGTCATTCCTGTCAAACCGTGAAATGAAGATCGTCCTGAACGGGTTCTCCTCTAGTTCCTTTCACACGAACGCTGGTGTCCTCCAAGGTTGTATCCTGGGTCCTACACTGTTTCTGATCTTCATCAACGATCTTCCTGATGTCATAAATTCACAAGTTGGCATCTACGCTGACGAAACTACTATTGATTCCTCCCTCAATCGTAAATCCGCCATCGCTGACAAGATTAACATGGCCGTAGGCCTCGAGAAGAACGTCCAATCTGTGGTCGATTGGAGCAGGAAATGGCTTGTAAACTTTAATGCCTCTAAAACGAAACTGCTCTCATTTACCCACCATAGAGAACCGTCCCTGCCTCCTATTCGACTTTGCATTGAATACTGCTGCCATATATGGTCAGGTGCTCCCGATGTTCATCTCGAGGTGCTCGACAATACCCAGAAAGAGATATGCAAAGTGATTGGTTCTGATCTGGAATCTCGTCTACACTCATTTTCTCACAGACGTGCTGAGGCTTCCCTCTGTCTTTTCTACAAATATTTTCATGACAACTGCTCCGACGAGCTACTTTCATTGGTTCCCAAACTGCATAAATTTAAACGTGCTGCTAGAATGGCATCTTGGACCCACCATTTTACTGTCGAAACTGCTAAATGTAGCCATCTCCTCTTCTTCAGAAGCGTCTAATCTCGCACTTCCTGTCAGTGGAACTCCCTTCTTATCACTTGCTTCCCTGGTAGCTATATCCTTTGAATATTCAAATGTAATGTCAATCGACATCTTCTTGACTTCGTTCGCTGTTCTTCTCTTTTCCCAAAAACTCCACTTTAATTTTATTCTCACTGTAACCCCTTGTATGCTAGTGCTATGTTTGGCATGATTTGCTTATATATATATATATATATATATATATATATATATATATATTTTTACAATTGGGATATTCCCTTTATATATATATATATATATATATATATATATATATATATATATATATATATATATATCGCTCGACTCTTCCGTCGAATGCGACGTATGATGGTCAAGCAGATCAGTTACCAGAAAACCGACAGCCCGACAACAGCATGAAA